CAAGTGAAGAGAACTTGCCGTCTATGTTTCCATGGTAAGAAAACTGCAGTTTTGTTACCATCGAACAGATTGCATGCCGTGGTTGGATTCACCCTCACTTCTATGGGGCTTGAAAGTGATGACGTCAAAAAGGGCCAGGGAGTACTAAGTTGACATCAGATTTCTATTTTGGATCCACTAAGGTGTGACTTTGCTATTGCCTCAGTATGTGGGTGCATAGCAAGTTAGCAACCCACTCATGTCGTATGCAGGGGTGACTTTTACTTCGCCACCAGTTGTAACCCCGCCCCAGTAGCCAAATCAGTCAGTTTCACTGGTTACATCACCTTGCATTGAGTGAGACGGCTTGAAATGTTCTTGGATCCATACAAAAACTGGATCCCACATGCATACGACATGAGTGGGTTGCTATGCACCCACATACTGAGGCAATAGCAAAGTCACACCTCAGTGGATCCAAAATAGAAATCTGATGTCAACTTAGTACTCCCTGGCCGTTTTTGACGTCATCACTTTCAAGCCCTATTCCTTGGCCATTTTCATTACGTCCCATGAAGTGCAGTCTGTGCAGACAGTGAAATAAAAAAAGGAAATGTTAATTAACATAGCAAAAAGTGTGGGCACAAGTTAGTTACGCGATCGAGTCCACCAACTAAACCAGACTTTGAACAGTCGACTAGACGTGCACGATCTACATGTAGCACAAAACTGACAAGGAGACATTCCACGGCATGAAAGTCAGGTTGAGCACTGCTCGATAGCGCTAACCAACGGCCTTCCGACTTGGAAGGCTCATGGATACTAAGCGCTATCGAGCCGAGCACAAGCTACTTTTCCAAGGCAAAGTGGAATGATGGCCTGGTATGATGACGGGACGGCAAGACCGGACAGAACGGTCAAACCAGAAATCGACAAAGCAAAGCAACGACCTCCCAATTATTTGCGAGGCTCAATTATTATCAGAGATGAAAATAGGAAGGGAAAGCTTCGCGAGGATGTCTCAGTACTCCTTGCCCGTTTTGTGCTTGTAGATTGTGCACGTCTGACTGTTCAAAATCTGGGTTATTAAAGTTGGTGGACTCGATCGCATATTCCTAAGTATTAGTTGGTGGACTCGATCGCATATTCCTAAGTATTAGTTGGTGGACTCGATGGCATATTCCTAAGTATTAGTTGGTGGACTCGATCGCATACCGGTATTAAACTACCTTGTGCCCACACTTTTTCCATGTTACAAATTTTCCTTGGCTCACCATCTAAATGAAAAATCCTATTAATTTTTCTCGCTTTGATTGTTAAAATTCACACTTGTAAATTTCACTGCTTTTGTTCTTAGTGTTATTTCTCTAACTTAGATTTTCTATAGTTCAATTTTTGTTTCAGTGTCTTTAGGCTTTAGCACAACAGTACAACGACGATTCCTGATGGGTGTTGAACGAAAACTTGTTTGAATCCATATTTTTTTCCCTATTAATTAATTTATTTATTTTGTGAGTAACACAACGTCACAAGCAGCACACGCGTGAGTCGCGGCGTGACACAGCCTCCTGTAGATCTACCATTATGTACATCTGGTACATGTACATGTAGATAGTCTATCTGTCCCCGGGGAAAATTGCGGAAAAAAATCGCAAAAAACGCGGGGAAAAACGCGGCATAATATGGCATAATTTGCGGTGAATTTGCGGTAAATATGCGGTAAATATGCGGTGAATAATATTGATGTGCGGCAATTTTCAGTGAGTATGTAGTGAAATCAATCAGTTACAAGTCTCTGGTGTAAGCACTCGTCATATTTGAGTAAAAAGCCGCCACGATGAGACGTTGCTGACCGAACAGTGCGCTGTGTGTACGTGTAGTGCAACAAAAAAGTTCAAAAAACGCGGGAAAATCGCGGAAAACGCGGTCTTAAAACGCGGCCGCGGAATCGCCATTTTCCCCGGGGACAGGTCTATGATGTAGACCTACCATGCACTGCATGCATGCTGTGACCATTGGCATTGTGACTAAGTCTTCTGCAGCGCCTGTCGAGTCGATCGATCGAGTGCATGTCGTAGATCTACCAGGCCTGCAGGAGTGGACCTGGTGCCGGAGTGACGGAAAAGGCCTTCTATTCCGCTACGAGAAGCGTTTGTACTGAGAAGTTACCCAGTAAAGTTCAACGAGCGCCGGAAACTTTGATAACGCACGTAATAATATCTCGCCTTGGTCGTTCCAGAAGAGAAAACATTCTGGCGTTCTGGTCAATGTTCCCGCAACCTGTGAGTGTCACAACAGCGATAAGAACCGTGGAGGTTATCGAACGAGTAACACGATGTCGCGTTGTCGGGTACATGTAGTAACGTGCTGTTGATCACTTTCGTTCAGAGAAGGACAGATAGTCAGCGGTTAGGGCTGGAAGTTGCCACCACGGAGTTTAGACGAGTTTTCGGTGCCGGCTGAGACAGGACTGGTATGGATGCAGTCGACAGGAGAACGGAAGCTCATGGGTTTTGTCATGGTCGAACACTCCAAGGTAACAAGCAAACGATACGTACATGATTGTACTTCATAACTGACTACTGTACATCGTACTGTTGTGGACATGGAAATCCGGTCGCACGTCTAGCGGCCCCACAACCGTGGATAAGCGGTACACACTAGGGCCCGGTGTAATATGCCGGAAACTTTGCAGAAAATGCTTTCGGGAAATTCTCGTAAACCTTGCCGAAAATGATCCTAAACCTTGCCGACAATGGTCGGAAAATGCTCACTTTTTTGTAATCCTCAGCACACGCCGTCAAAAGACTCAAAACCAGGGAGTCAGAAAATACCGGTATTTTACGACTCCCTGGTCAAAACCAATATTTTCAATTCATAAACTACTCAACAAGAAGCTAACCCACGGAATGCGGAAGTGACGTTCTTGTTTGGGAAGTTTTTCTTCTCTCAATTCTGATACACAACGGGCAAGTGCTCCGTTTCCCCCAAAATGCTGCATCACCAGCCCAAAGTGCTGGGTTCGCGGATTTTACCGAAAATGCTCAAAAAAATGCCGGCATATTACACGGGGGCCTAGTACACACATGCATTTTAAGCGCTGCAGCAGCGCGCTGGTCGCATCGGATCAACATGTGCCCTGCACGGCAGCGTTCTGTACGCGCTGAGGGCGCCGGCCCCGATCAATCGACCGGATTTCCATGTCCACGACAGTAGTAATTTCATAACTGACTACTGTACAATCATGTACGTACTGCATTGCTATTAGATAACCCTTGTTTTACTTTTAGTTCAGATATATTTCTGGTTTGACGGCATGAAACAAGGTGGAGGACACCGTGTTCGGAAACAGTGACCTTACTACAGGTTGATAGAGCCCTGGTCTGTTGAGACCATTATGAGAATAAAGAGGGTCAGAACCGGGTTAATTTAGACCCATACGGTTCAGATGGTCGCAACCGACCGGGGCTATACACACCGTGGATGATTGTACTTGTAGAAAGGTAACTGTTTCCGAACACGGTGTCCTCCACCTTGTTTTATGCTGTCAAACTAACAACATGCGCATGTCCTGTATTCTACTGGTTTGCCGACCAGTAGATCTACGCGGTATGTCTAACAAACACTCGAATCCTGATAATTATAACGAACACCATGCATTGTGCCGAAGTTTGTTATAACAGAAATGCACTCACTCTATACAAGCACTGAAGCAGTAAGTCATGACTGGCATGCGTCCCATGACTCACTGCATGACTCACTGCATGACTCACTGCATGAGTACACTCACTAGATTGTAGATCTACCTGTACATGCGGCCCCTGAAGACAGGTTTAAAAAAAAAACGAAAAGGGTTCGCTACAAAGGGTCAATTTTGTAAGGATTCAAACAGGGACCCGGGAAATGGTTTTTTATAATTATTACAGTATCACGAAATTTGCTCTAAGTATACGAATTTGTTTAGTTATTACACGTATTAACTGCTTTGAGGGAAAGAGACAAACGGGAAAAGTCTGAAGAAAAAATTGACTGTCACCACCAGGACTCAAACCAGGGACCCTTGCTTTTAGCCAGCAATGCTCTAACCACTGATCTACGGTGTAGTCGTCATCCCAGCAAAGACCGTTCAACATTTTCTTCAGACTTCGTAACTCACACTTTCTGTGAATCCACACAGGCGGGTGGGGCGCAGCCCTCACTGTACCCACACACTTCACGTACAAACTTGCACGCGGGGAGCCCCAAGTCATAAACCTAAAACTGCGTTGAGGGAAAGACACAAACGGGAAACCACGTAAGTATGGTTGCGACTTCGGCGATGATTTTTTAGGAATGAGTTTGCTCGCACACTGGAGCTCGCGCTATTCTGCCGACTTGACTTGACACTTGACTGACTCACGACTGCCAGTCAGTCAAGTGTCAAGTCAAGTCGGCAGAATAGCGCGTGCTCCAGTGTGCGAGCAAACGCATCACATGTAAGTAAGTCGATTGTAGTCCTTGTAGAGACCCACTACTTCCTGACTACTGCACAGTATGCTGTACAGTGTACTGTCCTATACTGTAACACTTGCCAACCCAGCCCAGCCTGCACCACAAAAAAAAACACAAAACAAACTTTTTTTGAACACTCATGTTTCAATGCCAATTCCGGTAGTTTTTCGAAAATCCCCGCTATGCCGTTAGTTACCCTAGTTTTCCGGTAGTATACCGGGAAAACCGGTATGGTTGGCAAGTATGCAGTGTACTGACACACACACACGCACACATGCACACACATACACACCCACACACACACACACACACACACACACCTTGGACCTTGGACGCGCTGCCATATTCTGGCTATGCGGACCCCATGGGGGGTTGAGCAGGTTCGGAACAGTAGGGGCGATGACGGGATAGGTCCTGTGGTCTACTGAAACGCCGACCGCAATTGCAAACGATACACACACACACACACACACACACATACACACATGCACACACACGCTCGCGCAACTCACATCAACGACTCAACACAATGCCTGTCGCGACCAGATGACTGTCAGTACTGACACGGCCAACATCCAGTATTCCTTCTCAAATTCTTGGTGGCATTACAATAATTGTAGTTGATGACTAGAAAAATCCTTCAGAATACAAAAAGCAAAGGTACTAGGTATTACATGGGACCGGAAAGAATTTTTTTGCTGAGTAATAATAGATGAAAAAGAGCTAAATATCTTGCTCTAAGAACATGCAAGTATTGTACGGCATAACGTGGCAGCAACAGGTCTCTCAGCATAATCTAGGTGAGTAGTGGCAATGCTGATCTTGTTGAGCAAGCGCTGAACACGGTGGGTTTGATTGCGTGGAGTGGGGCACGGCCGTTGCAGAGGACAACGCAAAAAAATGAGCGGAATAGAAGCGATCACGAATGGTGCAGAGAATGTAGCAAGCTATTGCAACGAACAGCGGCTAAGTTGGCCGAAAGCAAACGAGTGCCAAGGCTATGCTGCATGCGCTGCTGTTGCACGACATAATGTGTCCAGCTATATGCCACGCTAAAGACAACATCAGCGGCAAACTTTTACGTGTCTGAACTGTCACCATTACGGAAAAAACCTTTTGAGTTAAAAGTATAAAAAAAACGATAATGAAGGTTGACAAGAAAAACAGAAAGATGGCAACGGAAATAAGTGAAATAAACTGGTACAAAATGCCATGATGTAAAATGCCTGGGTATGCTTTGAGGTAGTCAGAACACTGAGGCATGTGTTGACAAACAAAGCCAGAGAGCAAGAGATTAGTGTTTTTAGCACGGAGCGCAGCTCCATAAATATATTGAACAATATTATAATACGAAATATAATCCTCGTCGAATGCTGATACAAACACGTGTGCCACTCATCGCATGTGTCAAATACCCACACAGTGTGCTGTTCAATACATTGTACGCACCGCACATCATTTTCCACGCCCGCCCCTGCCGCGGGCTCCGCCACCTCTGCGATTCTGCCTGGTGCCAGGAGAGCCACCACGGCCTCCTCCACGACCTCCTCCACGACCACCACCACCTCCTCCACGACCACCACCGGCACCACCTCCTCCACGACCACCACCACGGCCCGCTCCACCACCGCGACCACCATGACCCTGACCAGCTTGCTGAGCCGGCCATGCAGCTGCTGCTACTGCTGCTGCTGAATTATCACTTTCCTCGTCGCCCTTCTCTTGATATTCAATGTGAAAGCAGGGTAGGATTTGGTCGACGTCAAAGATACACAGCTCTTTACCGTAGCCGTCTTCGTCAGCAGAGAATGTGTGACTGTCGTAGCCTTCCTCCAGTCCTCTACCTGCTTCTACCTCGACGCATTGGAACTCTTTGCCGGGTAGAACATGACAGAGTAGTAGGGCTTTGTTGCTGCCGCCATATTGCAGACTGTAGTCCGGGTATTCTGAGAAGTAGATGCCACGGCCGAACTTCCCAGCGAAGCGAGTTGCCTCGCCAACTCTACTTAAGTCAAAGTTCCCTGCCATAATGCTTGGCACATTCTGAGCATCCGTCGTGTGGAAAGCCCAGATGGGAGTGCGGTGCGCCTTGTTGCTTCCACCCCGATACTTGACTTGCAGAGCCGTCTTGTACGCGACGAATTTCTCCAGCAGGCGAGGTGAGACGTAGTACGTGACTTGAGTGATCTGGTACGACGAGGCCGCATCCATCTTGCGAAGGAACTGACTCTCGGCTCGCGTCATGACAACACCTTCGTCACCATCCTGTGCTTTCCGTGTTGGCTTCACCTGCAGCATCCGTATGCTATTCGTCTGCACAGCTGCTTGTTCCAGCTCGGTCTTGAGCACCTCCTGCAGTGGTTTGCAAGTGTACTCCACAACGTAGCAGGGACGAATCAACTCCCAGCTGAACACACAGTAGCGACCGGAGAGATCTCCACCAGTGGCGGTCTGACTGGGTGTGGGTGTGCTGAAAAACGAATCAAACTTGCGCTTCTTAGCTCCCGGCAAGTCCTTGAGGGAAGCTAGGTCTTCGCACTTTCCCAGGTACACATTGCACCAGACGAGAAAGTTTGGGTGACGACAAGACGAGTCGGACAAATCGATGGTATCTCTGGCCGGAATGGGCCAGACTTGATGATCAAACTTCTTGACTGCTTGATGTTTGAAGCCCTCCTGCAACATCGACTGCAGCACTTCACCCCTGCCCGCATTGAATGGTAGGAGCTGGTAATCTTTGGTGCTGTCCTTCTGAGAACACATAGCGTCCAGTTGCGCAATACGCAATTTCTGATTCGTCAGCTTCTTGATACTCTGGATCTGGGGCTGGTTCTCTTTCTTCAGTCGCTGTGTCAACAGGCTCTCGCTTTGCTGGCGTATTGGTCTTGCTTCCGACTCCTTCATTGTGTCCAGAACTCCATCAGCAACATTGTCACTGTCATCACTTTGCAACGCGAGTGCTTGCACTGCGATGTCACGGCTTCTCTCAAGTTCGGCAATTTCCAGCTTTATTTTCTTGCGCTGCTTTTCCTGCCGCAGCCTCTCAAGCTGCTCGCACGTCTTGCATGGAACAGAGCTGCATGGCACACCGCATCTAGCCGAGCAGGGATGCTGGCAGGCAGCCAGCAGCTTTGTACACGGCATGGAGCACGGGACGCGCGACGAATCCTGGCGGCATTGCTTCTCTGCGTCGTGCCCGCAGGCCAGCTGCACAATCACTAGATGCGTGCACAGAGAGCGCTTCTTCTGCTCTGCCGCGTTGTCATGGCACTGTCGTTCGTACTGTTTAGTACATCCTGCTCCAGGGCAGCGGAACACAACGGTGGTTGTGCAGCGGACAGACTCTTCAGAGTTGCAGCACAGACGCACACAGGGATGCCCACACAACGGATGGTCGAACTCCACTTGCCATCGGCACACTTTATGGTGATGCCACGGTTGGCATGGAGACCGACAACGATGCATACCGCATGGCATGATTGCAGAGCATGGCTTGTCGCAGAATCCCGGCCGATTGATTGGAATGTCGGCGGCTGTTCTTGCGTGCACGACGGTGTCCGTGTGGCGTTGGCAGGTGAGTGATATCGCGGAGCTAACAAGCTTTTGCTTGTGCATTGATGTTATGAGTCTGGCCCAGTGATCACACGTCATCAGTGTCTCGATATTACCAACGAAGTACAGACCGCACTTGGCTCTGGACTGGGCAACACAGCGCCGATTCAACAACTTCAAGAAGCCAAGACGACCCTTGTCGTTGGATCGCGTCAGCGAGACGATAACGATCTCGTTCTCGTCTCCTTGGTAACGATCTATGGTGTGCACTAGGACTTGATGCTTACGGCGCACTGCCTTCAACAGGTCCTGTTCTGTTGGTGAATCTTTCTTCAGGCGGTCCGACTCTTTCTTCAGGCGGACCATCTCCTGCTGTGAGTTACTGATCAGGTCGGGATGGTCTTCAACCTTGAACACCGACGATAGATTCTCGCGTAGAGACTTGCGCAGTTCATGCGTTTGTCCTTGATATGGCGTTAGCACCGTAACCTTCTCTGGGTTGTAGCCTTGCTGAACAAACCAAAGGGCTAGCTGCGTGACCATCTTCACTTCGTCGACGTTCTTGAAGCTACGATTATCCGTCTCTTTGCCCGTGTGGTGCCAGAAGAACATCGAGTCAGCCATACACGCCGGGGCCTTGTTCTGCGACACAACTGACAGGTTGTCCTTGTAATCTGGGTAGATATCCAGAAGAAGTTTACTGAACTCTGGTCGCATGCGATTCTGTGTCAGCAGCAATCCATGTGGAATCTTGTTATTGAGCAGTCGTTCCATCATTGAAATATCAAAGTGGTGATTCTTCACAAGAGAGTAGGACTCAACGGATGGTCGTAGCTGCTTGTGATCTCCGATCATGATCAAGTGTTGAACCCATGGACCAAGAGCAGCAACAATCTGTGGTTCAAGTACCTCAGCAGCTTCTTCCACAATGACAATGCTGGGTTTGAGCGCCGCCAGTAGTTGATGGTTCATTGCAGCACCCGTGATGGTCATACCAACCATCGTTCTCTGCTTGCCTACAATCTGTGCAGTGTTGGCCGTGCTGGTTTCGCTGAACAGTCTACAGCTGGAACTGTACGAGTCCATTGCTTCCATCAGGTCCTTCTGGCTATCATCAATGCGCTGCCGTATCAAGTGCTGTACGTAGAATGCTCTGTCCATGGCATCCAGTCGCCATGGGTCATTCTCCAGGTGATACTCCAGATGTTGGGCAACATTCTCCGCCTGACTAGCCACGCCGGGTATTTCGCAGGGCCAGGTGGACTGGGACTTTCCCTCGTCGTTCAGGTACAGCAGCTTCACGTCGACTGGCTTGCCGGCTTGCTCAAACCCGCCGTAGCCTGCAAGTCGAGACTTTAAGGTGGCCTGAACGTCTTCCTCATCCAGCAGTGATTCTTGTTCGGCCGTCTGTTGGGCTGCTGTGGAGAGAGCTTCCTGGAGCTGGCTTGAGAGCTTGTTGTCCGTCTGGTACTGTGCTGCTATGCCACGCAGTATGTTGAAGATTCGCGGCTGCGGTAGCCAAGCACTGAGCGCAAAGTGAACGAGCTGGGCTAAGGCATTCCAAGGCACCTGTTCTATCCATTCCTGCACGTCACAGTGCGGGAAGATGTGACATAGAGTTCGGTAGTAGCCTGGAGGCCACCGCTGTTTCTGCACTCCGGCCAGCAGCTTCCAGACTTGCAGTGGAGTAGCATACTTGATGAAGCAGTTCACAGAGAAACGTGTTGCCTTGGATAGTCCGCCAGCAGCATCGCATAGTTTTTCGGAATTCTCTTTGACTTGGTCGCGTTCAGTGTAGAAGGACTGAGAAGGGCGCTCTCTCCTCCGTACCTCGCGGATATTGCACTCCATGAGCTCTTCATCATCCGAACGTCCGCCCACTCGCACAACGTCCATGAACTTTTTACACGACAAGAGGAACTCGTCTAGGGCATGGTTTTTGTAGGTAAGTACTAGAACGGACGTATTCTCTGGTAGTGACGACGCAGAGAGCAGAAGCTTGACCAGCTTAACACCAATGTACGTCTTGCCGGTACCAGGCGGACCCTGAATGACGGACAGGCGGTGTGTGAGTGCGTGAGCAATGGCCTGGCGCTGCGACCCATCCACGCACAGCTCATCAGGCTCAGCGTCGGCGAGAAGCGCGAGTACATCTGGCAAGGGCATCACGGCGTCCTGTGCTGCTGGCTGCTTGCGCAGGAACATTCTGCTCAGCTTCTTCAAGACGGTGCTGTCGTCAGGCGCCTTGCGCAGACAGGCCGTATCGAGACTAGGGACCTCCGTTTCTTGATCGAGATACTCGGGTGATAGCGCCGACGATGTCCTGCTGCTGAGAATGAGCTCTTCTTGAAAGGGAAGATCTTCGGCGTTGATCATCTGCAACTTGCGCAGGACAGGCTGGTAAGCTTTGTAATATGACGGTGACTCGACCATGATAGTGGTGTTGACGGATGCATTTTTCATACACAGGATGAAGTGCGACATGTCACTGCCGTTGATCTCCGCGCACGGCTCGACGAGAACTATACCAGACTTCTCTAGGTGATCGCGACTGTACACGGTTGCCCAGAGAGGACGCTTGAAGCTGCCGTCGGTACTGATGCAGAGCAGATTCCCGAACATTAGGTCCTGGCATGTGCTCCAGCTGGTGACGCGCTTGATTGGCTTGAACTTCAGGCCAAATGCCACACCCTTTCCGCCGCCATCAACGTTTCCAACGCCCCCTTCGGCAGCCAGGGCCACAAGCTGGACATTCACGTAGACGTTCATATCACGCATATCCAGCTTCTCGTTCAGCAGCTGCTGTACACCTTCCTTCAAGCCAGCAAAGCAATCCTCGCGCAACAGCCGGAAATATGTGTCAAAGTAGTCATTGACTGAGTCATAACTGCCAGTGACGCGTACACTGGGCAGGACACGCTTCTGCTTCTTCAGTGGAACCCAGCAGTCGGCATCGTCTTCGTCATTGTTTCCCAGCAATTCATCAGTCGTTGGGATTAACGGCAGCTCACTCCACTCGGCAAACTGAGAGCTGTCTTCATGCGTAATTCCGGCGGTGCGACGAACCATTTCCAGGAGGCAGGTGCTGAGTTTCCTGTGACTGATACGCGGCGATTCCGACAGCTTTCGCAGGAACGGAAACGTGCGCTTGGCCAGTGAGTGGTCAGTGCTGGACAAGGCTAGTAAGAAGTCCTGCATCAGATTCAAGTCCGGCCGAGCTAGGCTGTCTTCGCCGCCGCTAATGTAGGCGTTAAGCGGTCCGTGCATAGGGCTGAAAAAACGACTGGAGGCGGTGAGTTTCATTAGCTGTGTGAACGATTCAGTGTGCGCCTGGCATTTACCACTGAGCAGCACGACGAATTGCAACAGGCGCTTAATCCAATGCGTGTCCTCGTCAAAGTTCTGGTTGAGTATAGACTTCCAAATGACGTGGCTGTCGAGGTATTTACGTATCTCTAGGTTATCATCTCCACACTTCACCAACTCACTCAGCGAATCCAGCCAGGCAGAGTAGATGCTTGTCGGCCGAGGGAATAACTTCACCGGCTTGACTTTGAAAGCGGAGTCTTTCTGGCCCTCCTTCTTCTTTCGTCTTTGGTCAAGAGTGAACTCCACTTCGTCGCCTCGCACAAGATCAAATCCAGACATTTGAACTCGGTCAAAGTGGAAGAATACATCAATGCGGGTCTCGGCTGGCCTCTGATCGGCAGTGGCTTTGTTACGAGACTGCGATTCCGCTGTGGTAGTACCAGTAGCAGCAGAAGTGCGTATGAACCCCATGGACTTGTTTGCGTCGACCATAGTGATGTGTCCCAGCATCCATCCGTCCTTGAGTCGTGTGGCTGCGGAGCGTTGCAGCTTCAGCATGGTCTTTCCCTGCTCATTACTGATGGTCATCTGGCGTGCACCGGGCTGCATTGGAGCTGGCTGTTTGCTGTTGCGTCCGAGAGGCTGCCTCGCCTGCAAGTATAGGATTTCAGAACATGAACGAACCGCAACACACACATGCACACATACGCACGCACGCACACACACACATACGCACACACACACACACACACACACACACACACACACACACACACACACACACACACACACATGCAACACACACATGCACATACACACGGACACATATATACAAGGGATAAGAGGCAGTTCAGCTGTAACTTCAAGTTTCGCACACTGCATGGTCACCATTCATGATTGTTCATTGTTACTTATTAGTGGGTATGGTCAGTTACTGAGAGGAAGACGTATCGAAATAATACGAAGATTAAACCACCTGAGCAGGCTTTTCGTACCACCACTCCTCAAATCAGTATAATATCTGAGGTGATACGGTGAAGAAGTATTACAGTGTCAATTTCCAACAGCTCTGTGACTGTGTGAGGTAGTGTTGAAACGTGCTCTGGGAATGGTGCAGCTAGCTGTGCCAAGCATCAGAGTACAGTCAACTTCGCTGATAACGACTGCGGATATAACGACAGTTCGCGAATAACGACAGAATTTCCATGCCCAGAGCAAAGTCCCGTCTAACTGTAATACATAATATAAAGAGACTTCGGGTATAAGGACACGTCGCGAATAAGAACACTTTTTTGATGTCCCGCCGAGTGTCGTTACATGCAAAGTTGACTGTACTGCACTGAGCCTGACTAGCACTCGTTTTGAGAAGTAATGCTACTACAGGTCTTGTCACGATAAACAAGTGGCGTCGTGTTTACATAAGCTTGCACGCCTGTGTGTTTTCTTTACTGGAGAAAATGCCTTTGACCAGACTACAACATAGATACAGGCTTAACAGATAGTGTTTAATTCCCGTAGCTATGCAGAAGACGTTACTTCAGTAACGTCGGGCGCTAGCCAGGGTCCACACAGCTTTAATTTGGTGTTTGTGTGTTTGTGTCACGCCTGGCGCTATCCCGTATCTGTCCCGTACCGTACCGGACCATCAAACACAGCTGGCCACATACAGCTGGCCGCAATATTCAAATAGGGCTTTCAAACGAAAGATCATAACGTGAAGCAACTTGGAAGAATGAGTATGAATGCGAAGTGTATGGGGGAATGCATGTAGGGCGATAGTGCGGGTTCGAATCCCAGGTTATGCCTTAAAAAATAGGAGAAGTGAAACATTTATAACATCCTTATGCTTTTTTTGCCTAGGTCATCAAGGCGGTAGACGGTGTCGTATTATCCTCGACCGTACCTGTCCCGTACCGTACCTGTCCCGTACCGTACCATCAAAGACGGCTGGCCACAATGCAAATTCAAATAGGGCTTTCAAATGCAAGATCATAACGTGAAGCAACTTGGAAGAATTAGTATGTATGCGAAGTGTATCGGGGGATGCATGCATGGCGATAGTGCGGGTTCGAATCCCAGGTTATGTCTTTAAAAAAAGGAGAAATTTATAAGAATTTATAACATCTCTATGCTTTTTTTGTCTAGGTCATCAAGGCAAAAAAGCATAGCGTAGGGCCCTGAGCTTCCCAGCTCTCTCGTTCAATTAGGAGATGATAGCACACAGATATGTTCTTCTTATTCCTGCTCTTTCCTCAGGGACGTGTGAATGAAAGCGGCAAAGTTGTCAGGGTAGCTGGGCCCGTTATCTAGGTTGGAGACAGTGAGTGGGAGGACAGTCTGCCGGAATTTCCACTCCACTGGAGCCTAGAGGTCAGGTGATCTAGATTTCTCTCAATTTCCTGTCTGCCAGTCTGGTTGAGTGTGTGTGCACGTGTGTGTGTGTGCACGTGTGTGTGTGTGTTTTGGCATGTGTGCGTGTGTGTGTATATGTGCATGTGAATGCATATCCATGTTTGTCTATCAATAGGTCTATGTGTACTTCTTTTCAACGAAATGTTTGACTTACCGATATTGTGGATGCGGGATTAGCTTGTTTCTCCTTCGTCTTCTTTTTATTGGTCTTCTTGCTAACCTCCTGTTGAGCTGTAGCAGGATGGGCACTTGTACCAGTACTGAAAAATTCATGCTGCTGCTTCTGCTGCTGGTGTTGCTGCTGCTGTTGCTGCTGCTGCTGCTGCTGCTGCTGTCCGTTTTGCGGAGTTTGTTGGAAATGCTGAACTTGGTGCACCTGTTGCTGTTGTTGCGGTTGCTGCCATTGCATCTGTGGCGGCAATCCTTGCTGGGCAACCACGTTCACGTGTCTGATGGCGGGTGTGAAGTTGGTGGTGTTGGCGGGAGACGCTGCTGGGTACAAACTCCTGGCCGCAGCACCATTCTCAGCAGCGTGGCCCGCACCGCCATACGCTGTGTATCCAGGATACATGTCTGGCGGTTCTGACATACCTGGCCTCGGTTGTGCCACCTGATCGGCGCTATCATCGTACATGCTTGCATCATCGTACTCCTCTTCCAGACCTCCGGTGGCGTATGCATCAAACGCCGAGACATCGTCACTGAATCCTGAGCTGTCATCACCGTCATCATAATCCTGTGTCCCACTTGCTCGCACTGCATAGGCCTGGGTAGGATAGCGGGCTGCCATTTCCAGAAGATGGGCTTTGTAGTCACTCTACAAACCACAAGCAACATTTTAAATACAAATACATCCAGGTGAGGTTAGACATAATGTGTTTATGTTACTTGCTGTTTTGAGGAGAGACGCTCATGTTGACTGTTTACTGCACGTACCGTAATGCCGCGTATAAAAGCATGACCCGTATAGAAGCATGACGCGAATAGAAGCCGATTTTTCGTAGTGCGCCGTGACACAGAAGCATGATTTGAATAGAAGCCGCTCTGTGCAAAGACACGTGCAAGACTTGCACAGCAGTACATGTACATGTATGCACTGCACAGTGTACACTGATGTTGACTTAGAAGCATGTTTTGAGTAGAAGCATAACTTGAATAGAAGCATGGTTTGAACCCCGGCTTATACGGCCATAAGTACCTGTTTTTATACGCGACGTTACCATACTCATGTAATCAGGTACACAGCCTCTCATTTTAGCCGTTGTGTCTGGAATGGACGCAGCCGTGGGCCCCTTTGTGTGCATTTTTTTTTTTTTTTTTTTTTCTACAAAATCCACATATCTCCAGACACTGGGGTGAATGATGGAGTGTGGTGGTGGGGCCCATTAGGCTCCGCCGACCAGAGGTCTCGGCTTCATAGCTCCATGGACGCACCAAAGGGATATTGGGTGGGGAGGATTAAATTGAAAAAGAAAACAGAAGAAAGAAAATGGAAAGATTGTATTGCTCAGTGAGCAAAAGAATAAGTTGAGTATTGATGTGAACGCTGTTAGACTTTTAAATTCAAGAGGAGACTGCCCGTGAGGAGAGATTACATGTATGTCCAAGCAGGGTAGGACACTGTACCCTCTTACTCGCGTATGCTATGAGTGGCCCAGTGCCAGTTCGTTCTGAGGAGATGGTGATAAGCTGCTGTCTTGAACTTTTGGATGTTCTTTGGGTGAAATGGGTGGGGAATGATAGAGGTAGGCAGCTGGTTCCAAATTGGGATGACGGAGTGGGGAAAGGCTCGGCTCACATTGTTCCGGGAATTGGCAGGAAGAACATTCTGTAACTGATGGGGATGCGCGGTGGACAGTCGTACAGCCTGGCGGGTGAGGCGTGTGGTCCTGGGTTGGTGTGTCGGGGGTGGAGCCATTCTCGAGAGAAGAGCGGGAGAATTATCGCAAAGGGCTTTATACAGGAGGCAGAGGGCAGCGATGGTGCGGCGAATTATGAGGCTAGGAAGCCAGCATTGCGGATGTATTGCCTTGATGGCTCGCTCCTGCACCCAGTCCAGCCGATTCAAGTGGGAAGGAGCTGCCCCCATCCAGACGATTGGGCAGTACTCCATAACCGGCCGGACAAAGGCTTTGTAGGCTCGAAGCCGGGCAGGAATAGTCAGCAAGTGAAATGCCTTGCGCAAGGCTCCAAGTCTCTGCGTTGCTCGGACTACAACAGTTCGGATATGCTGGCTGAATTTTAGCTGATGGTCAAACGTGACGCCGAGTACTTTGATGGAGGGCTGCTCCTCAACAGGAGTTCCATTGAAGACAATGGGGGGTATTGGCCAGTCCCGACGATGGTGGGAAATTGTAAGGGCCTGAGATTTGGCTGGCTCGAACTGCACTTTCCAATCCGAGCCCCAACTGGATACTAGGTCGACAGCAGCTTGGAGTACTCTAGCGTTGTCAGGAACAGCAGCGAGCGTTGCAATTTCGGTGTATAGGGTTGTGTCATCGGCGAATGAGGCAAGGTTGGAGCCGATTGGGAGGTGGTCTTCAAGGTCGTTGACGTAGACCAAGAATAAGGTGGGGCCCAGGATACTGCCCTGTGGCACCCCAGCCTTAACTGGGCGTCTGGCTGATGTCTGGCCGGATATGAGGACTTGAAGTGTGCGGTTGCAGAGGTAGTCTTGGAGCCACCGATGCAGGTCTCCCGAGATGCCATACACTCTAGCCTTGTGCAACACACCAGTGTGAGACACCCGGTCAAATGCTCCAGCAATGTCGATGGCCAGCACTCGAGAAGCTCCTTTATCTCCGGCGGTGTGCACCCACTGGTGGTGGAGAGCAGTCAGCAGGTCTGCTGCACTGTGGCCGCGACGGAATCCAAATTGCCGCTCTGACAGGACGTGATTCGTCTCCATGAAGTTGCTCATTGCCCTGTTGACTATGGTCTCCATGACCTTGGAGAGGATGCTCAGTAACGACACTGGTCGATAGTTTGATGGCGACGATTTAGACTTGCGCTTGTGGACTGGAACTACGTTTGCAACCTTCCACTGTTGTGGCTGGATACCGGAGCGAAGACAGCATGTAAATAGTTTTGAAAGCGGCCGTGCCAATTCTGCAGAGCAAGCTTTCAAGACGCGGGCAGGTATCCCATCTGGACCAGTGGCCTTGGTGGGGTTGAGCTGGCGGAGAGTTCGCTCGACTGTGGTTTCGCGAAACCGGACGGTGCAGAGGTTGCGGTCAGTACGTGGTCGGACGTAAGGAAATGGAGGGGATAGGTCGTCTGCCCCTAGACTGCATTTGTTGGCGAAGTGTTCGGCCATGCACTCTGCTTTGCTGCGGTTGGTGTCGTGCTCCGTACCATCGGTGCTGCGGAGAGTAGGTATGGATGGGCTGTTTCCGTGGCCAGAGGCCTTCTTGATGGTTCGCCACCATTCACCAGACGCCATACACCCAGAGGCTAACTTCTGCGCCAGGCTTGCTGTGAATGCCTGCTTGGCAGTTGCCAGGCAATGGTTAGCCGAGTGCTTGGCGACATTGTAACGGGCTTGCAGCTGGGCACTTGACCGGTCGGCGCAGAGTCTCCTCCATGCTCTTTGTTTCTGTGCTACAGCCTCAGTGCATTCCGGTGTCCACCAAGAGGGGTTAGATGGTTTCATGCACAACTGCTTAGACGGTATGTATCGGCGCATTCCTTCCAGAATATTCTGGGTCAAGTGCATACACATTGCATCAGGATCATCACTGACAGTGGACTGCCAATCTGTAGTTCTAAAGAAGTGGCGGAGTCTGTCCCAGTCTGCGCGTTGGTAACGCCAGACAGTTCTGGTCACTGGTGGTTCCTCTGCTGTGCTTACATGAAAGTCAGCTAGGACACAGGCATGGTCAGAGTTTCCCAGAGGTGCTAAGGTATTGACGGTCGCATCTCCCGGTAGGTCAGTCATTATTAAGTCGAGTGGGTTAAGGCCCCTGGTGGGCTCATGCACGTGCTGCTCCAAGCAGTGAAAAGCACACATGTCTTCAGTGTACACACCTGCATGAGTTGTCTTGGTGCTGCCGAGCCAATCCACGTTGTGTACGTTAAAATCTCCAGCCAATACCACATATTGACAAGATTTACGGGCCAGGTCTATGCCAGCACTGATGGCTTCAAGGGTACTGATGTCATTGTCGTGGCAGGAGCCAGAGCGATATGCAGCACACACAGCCACTGACTTCTTATCCACAGTTCTGACACTCAGCCATATTAGCTCCTCATTACCGACCTGGATGTCATCGAGTTCTCGGAGGGCCAGACTGGCTTTAACCCAAACTGCAACTCCTCCTCCATGAGCTGTTCGATCATTCCGCAGTGGGGAGTAGTACCCAGGTAAGGACAGTTCGGAATCAGTAGCCTTCTCAGGGGTTAGCTTGCTCTCTGTGACAATGGCAATGTCAGGTTGGTGAACGTGTACAGCATGGTGAAAGTCACCAAGTTTACTCAGTAGTCCAAATGTGTTCGTCAGCAGGATCCGAAAGGATCTAATTGGAGCTTTGAGCTTGAGTGTCGGAGGACTCGGAGAGAGCGTCACTGTGTGAGCCGGACAAGGTGTCCCCCTTTGGAGCATCACTGAGAGTGTCACTGTGTGAGCCGGACAAGGTGTCCCCCTTCGGACGCTCACGGTGGCGCCAAACCCGCGCGTACAGTGGGCGAGGCCAAAAGTTTGGAGCAGTGGCGATTTCAAGGTCAGTCGCATCGATCATCAAGCGGGCAGACACTTTCCCATCTTCTGTGGTGTGTATGCTGCACTGGTGAACCTTCACCGGTTTGTTTACTGCTGCAGAGCGTTGCTCAGTGAATTCCTTGACACTTTCTTCACTGCTATGTGAGTTCAAATTGCCCACATAGATTACGGCTTTCTTCACTCTGTGAGGTTCGTTTGATACCAGTTTCCACGTGTCATCCGTGATTGGCTCTAGCTTCAGTGGCTTGGGCTTGACAGTGGGCCGCTCAATTGCCTGGGACTTGTCCTCATCCTCCGTTGACGTTTCATGGTCACTGGCAGGGTCACACACGCTACGGGAAGTGCTACGGTGTTCGTCTGCATCAGTGGTACACGTGGCAGCCTGGCCTGCGCGAGTACGGGTACGCTTGCTGGTCCTTCCCGCTGTACTCTCCATCGTACGCTGGCTGTGCTGGTTGTGGGCAACTGCTGGAGGAGTCAGGGGAGAAGCACTTGCTGCGACAATGGCGGACTCCCTGAGGGCGACAACCTCCTCGTTCAGGCCTGCAATTTGCCTCGATAAATCATCGATCCTATTCTTTAGTCGTGTCTCGCGGTCTGCGGACTCCGTCACAAATGTTGCCAGCGTCTTTACTACGTCTAAAATCGAAGACTCGATCCCGGGGAGGGAGCACAACAATTTTACCTCCGAATCCGTCAGCCCGCGAACGGCAGCTTTTGCTGGAGGCATGGCGGAGGTAGGCCAAAGCTATCCAATGTCTACCTAGTTTCCTACTACTACTACTATACCTAATGTTTGAAACCAGGCCGGCCTGATGCCGGTTTCCTGGCGAGAAACTGTGGGAGCCTCAGAGCGCAAAAACCTGCACCCTGCTCCAAAGTTTGAAATCTTTGTCATTACCTGCGCTTGTGGAGAAGCTTAATTAAAAGGACCACTAACGTTAGTACGTCTTCTTTCCTGTTCGGAAGCTGACAGATTACCTCCAATCCATTCATCCAAAATAGTACCGCTGGCTTTTGAAAGCCTGATTTTGGCCGAATTGAGGCTCAAACCCCACTTTTAACTTGAAAAATCTGGGTTTGGGATATGCTTCTCCATACAATTTGCCATGGTATATCTGTCCTACGTTTTAAAACCTGGCTGAATTTCTAATTCCCTGTCCTGGAACTTTTTTTAAAACTTTCTGGCCTCGAATCACACAATGGCTAGGAATAATTGGATGTGTCACCCAAAGCAGGATGTATGGTGGTTTTCACGATATCCACAGCTATATGGGCTGAGAAAAAAGGTAAGGGTGCTAGTTTTCACTAAATACACTGTACAAGTAGAGAGCAACAAAGGTGGCTGATTCCTGCGCACTCCTTGTACACTGAATGTGGACTTTTCTGGTTGTCTCGTTTCATGCCCATACCAGTATCCGGATTGAGGAGTATAGAGGTTCATATTGCCTCTGGACTTTGTCCGGCTGACTTTGTTTCGTTCTCGTTGAAAAGTGATGCTGAAAAAAAGTTTGATTCGCAAAAATGTGTTCATTTTCTATTCGTGTGGTGACCTGTGGTTCCTGGCCATGGTATGAAGCTGCGATTGCTGGCAACTCATATAGGGTTTCTGGAAGGCATGGAAGGCATGGAAGGCATTGAAGTCAAGTGGGAAGTGGGAAGTGGGAAGGGTCACGCAAGTACACTGTGATGTACATGTGCACGTAGACATTCGCGAATGACCGGTGAACCCCATTCGTGTCATACTCTCGTACCCTTGTGAAGCCTGCACTGCACATGATTGGGATACTCAGCAGCAGTACAGTAGAATGCTGATTTCTCCGAACATCAACGATCCGAACGATCAATTATCCGACAAGCTTGCTCGCATTGAGTAACAGGGTACAAAGTGAGTTTTTGCTTGGTTTGCCCCCCCCCCCCCCCCCCCCCCGAGCACCATTCACACTGTACACAAGATGTATTACAACAGGTTAGAGTCCTAAAGTATAACCATCGTGTGTCATTTTGAAGAACTGGAGTGTGCTTAGTTCCTGTTGTGTTGCGAAGAAATTAAAATGATGAAAACATGCGGGAATAAGTACCGTATTTCCCCGAATTTAAGTCGCACCTTTTTACACTTAGCTTCAGGGCCAACAAAGGTGATGCAACGTATAGTCAAGCATGACTTACTACTGAAGTGAATATAATCAAAACAATAATGATATGAACCTGGAAAAGGGGGTGCGGCTTACAATCAAGCGTGACCTATAATCGGGAAAATACGGTATGTTTTAGATAGATGTGTGACTGCTTCCTTATCCGGACCTTCTTCTCATCTGAATCCCTCAAGACAGCCCACGCACCAAGGGGTGCGGATAATACCCACTCTACTGTAATGGTGCAGGCAGGCACAGTGGGTTGGTCTAAGACCATGGTTGAGAAACGAGAGGTACCAGCTTCAAATCCTGCTTGGAAGCGGAAAGATTTTTTGCAGCCATGCTGCGACCCACAGTGACAGTGAATTGAGAACTCCCGGCCTGGCACGAGGAAAACACGTGTGTTGCAAATGAGATTTCGGCCTTTGGCCTCTGGTTGGTGGATCTGATCTATCCTCCCCACCGTTTAGGAGGTGCATCTGACGCCTGATCATAGGGTGGTGGCGTCCCACGGAAGCGGCAAGGTGGCTCTAGACCCGTCCTGTACGCGAACCCGTGCAATTTTTTGCTGTAGTGGTAGTGTTATATACTGTAAAATCTGTGACTAACGACTACCCCTTGGGGCCAGAGAAAGCGGTCTTTAGGGGCAGGCGGTCCGAAGTTAGAGGTTTTGCATCGCGCAACAATATAATGGAATGTCAGACCGTCTGTGCCTGGCGAAGTGGTCTGTAGTACCAGGGTGGTCGTTAGTCACGGTGGTCTTTAGTACCAGGGTGGTCGCTAGTCACGGTGGTCTTTAGGTACAGGTTTTACGGTACTTAAAAATAGGCATATCCCTACAGACATGTACCTACAGACATGTACCTACAGACATGTATGTAATTGCTATCTTGGACACTTCTCAGTCACAGTTTGTGGGTGTCTACTGTCAGTGCAAAACTTACACTGTACTAACTAGTTACTTACTGGTGTGACTGTCCTCCAGTCTGAGCAGTACCACTGAGCTGGTCATCAGCAGTGCATCACACACAGCCAGTCTGTTCAGGCCGCATTGACTGCTGGACTCGCTGCCTTCGGTGTAGTGCTCTCCAATCCTGCTGCAATCAGCTTTCTTGCCCTATAGTATGTGAGTTGGTCTGAACCCGATCCCGACCACCCAGGCCAGGAACATCAAAATAATGGGTCGTGGTGAGCAGCACTGGGCCTGGTTCAGGCTGATCAGGCCAATCTGGCCTTCTGGGTCTCGCAGAGCGCTGACCAGCTCTCACCCTGCACCTGTGCGGCCCCAGACTAAGTGTAGTCCAAAGGCAAAGGGCAAAGGGCAAAGGTCGTCACCAGCGGCACCATAGATCTACCAATGCAGTTCTACTTACTTCTTCAAGTACAGTACTACTGGCACTTCAAAGCCTTGCCAACTCTGCTACAATAAAGTCAATCGAGCCTGGGATGGGTCTTGATTTCTTTTCCGCGCACGGACACGCTGCGCATACGGACGACCGCTGATGAGCTAGCCGTACAAACGTCCTGGATCGGCTCACGAAAACTGGTCAAATGTCCACAGAATGATTGTTTCCCATTCGACTTGCACACTGAATGAGCGAGCGGCGCTCCGATGCTTTTCAGCTCACCCGGATCGAAGCAATCGCAAGCACATGTGCTGCTGCAGGTCCCAAATCTCTGCACTGACGAGTAGAGTCTACACTACACTCTACAAACTACAGTGAGCAGTGCACACACACACACGATCGTTTTATAGCGTCCATTTTTCGTCGGAGGTGCGATGTACAATCTACAGTTTCAAACAAAAATTTAATGACTTTGGTCAGAGGCTCCATGCTGGTGAATGAGAACGAAACTCTTTCCGTCAGTTTCGATCGCTTGCAGCGCTAGCGTTTCGATCGGCGGACTTTGCACTTCTCATGCATGCATATGAGTACGATGACGTGTGATTTGCATTCTCACGTTCCTCGGCCTCGTGAATCGTACAGTACTGGCAACTGAAATCCGACCCCCTAAGCGGTGCGCGCGCTCACATCGCAAAGACCCAACACGGGATTGTAAAACTACGAAACAGAGACCGATAGAATTTGGACGCACCGCTAGGTGGTCGGATTTCAGTTGCCAGCACTGTAGACAGTACTAGTAGTTGGTATAATACTAGAGGTAGCTGCGCAGACCGCGCCATGTTACATGGTAGACTTTCGTTTCGAACAGTCTGCGTAAAGGTAGTGGCGGTGGGGACTCCCCTCTCCAGGAGTTTCGGTTCCCTACACCACTGGCACTAGACTAGTGCATGAAGGTCATGTACCAGTGTACTGACTACTGAGTCAGTACATGTCATGAGTCAGTTGTACTTGTAGGATCACAACTGCACAAGTACTAGTGGCATGTACACCTCGCCTGCATGGTACACAGGCGCTAGCGCTAGGCGAGCACAGTGCCACAGGAGAAATAGGCTCTGTTTCGAAATCAGGGAGTTACAACTAATTACTTACACCAGTACTGGCAGTAGACAGTAGTGTGCCAAGCGCAAGAAAACTCAAACTGTCAAAACGACACGGTAACGTAACGGTCACACTACAAAAGTAGTACAGTCATGTATTACTTTTGTTGTAGTTGTCATGTATTCAAACGGCGGTACTGCTAGGCTCAGTTTGATTTGCAATACAGTAATCAGTTTGTCTGGAAAGGCGGCAGGCTGACCGGCACTAGTCACGACTGACTATTCCTGGTCTGATGTAGTACCGGTAGTGTCAGTGGAGCAACTCCGCAAGCCTCTGGACCGCCTGGTCACTCCGCCATCCGAGCCTTTCGCGTCCGTTTACGAAGTGATGAGCAGGGCATGTTTGCAATGGTGCTGATGATGAGGTAGTTTCGCTCGCACCGAAAGTTGACAACGTGTCTGTATCAGATCGACCTCGTGGTGCCGATAATCGCTGGGTTGTTGCACGGCAGTTCATGAAGATCCTGCACCGGTGAAGTGGCAACGTCTGAATATCGGCAGTCATCTTGGACGGATGCGACCACAGTGCTGCGTGGTTCCACACACCGAAAGATAGCAGAGAAAAACGGCATGATTGGGACAAACTAATTACTTCTGCTTCTAGTGCTTATTCCTGCAGTCCTGGATGAGAGCCTGGTAGCGTGTTTGTGGATTTTCTTGGTCACGTCTGTGGAATAATCAGCTGCCTACCGAGCCTGCAACTCAGCCGCGAGAAGGTAATCAGTATGCTGCACTTGTACTGCCCCCCCCCCCCCTCCCCTCCATGGATCCACCCTCACCCGATAATGATTAAGTCAGGCTGTAGATGATTCTAGGGACCAGGTAGCAATCTATGCAAGGCCGGAGAACGACAGAGAGTTACGTGGCCGAAACAACTATGTTAGACACAGGGCCTGCTCTAGACATTCAACACAGCCCGGTCAGAGTGTACCTGGCGCATGCAGGCCAGCCGGGTTGAGCCGGGTCAGATCATCCGGCAGAAAAACAACCAAAAAGCCTTCTCAAAACTTGCAACTGTGTCAAAAGCTATCCAAAGTTACGCTTTTGACTGCCTGCCCCATCGACTTTCAATGTCCTGACTTCCTGCTCGCCGCTGACCAGATCTCGCTCGAACCAGTTGACCCCAGTTGACCTAAGCCGAGTTTCTGTCGCTTGTAGACTGTAGTGTGTACGGTTGGGCTAGATTTGCAACAGATGGGGTCCGCGAGTCGTAAAATCCCGGTATTTTTGGAATCCATTGTCAGTTTGAGACATTTTTCAGCCGGGTCAGACTGGACCCGGCGTTATCTGTTCAGCCAGGTCGTGCAGTTCCCCAGCCGGGCGCGTGACCCGGCTGACCCGGCTCTCCAGCAGGCCCTGAGACAGTCACGTGGCCGAAACAACTATGTTACTTCAAGTACTTGCAATGGGTTTAGGCTCTAGTCAACAACTGGGTTCACCCCCCCCCCCCCCCCAAAAACTGTATGTTGGAAGCCAAGATCATTCTTTCTGGACTCATTCCACGGTCTCCACCGGACTGTTATAATGTAGGTGACGAAATACAGTCAGGCAAATTTCTGGTCGGGTGTGCAGGACCTGAGCGACCCGGCTGGGTCTTTTGGCACTGAGCACACAGTGTGCAGCACAGTCACATGCAGGGTTCAGATACCAGCACGGCAAAGAGCATCATCAGGTTTGTGATACGGCCTTGTAGGCTCAGCTGGTTGAGGCGATAACATGGACTTTCGCGATTTCTAGGAATCCACTATCACCATGATAAACTGTCGATCCGAAAACGAATAATTGAAGTAGTTCTTTCATTTCAGTGACAGTACGAGTACAGCTGACAGTCTATGCATTATTCATTAATAATCTGAAACTACGGAGCATGGACTTCAATTTTTTGAGTAAGAGTGAGCTGTCACAGGAAATGCTAACGCCATCACCACTCTGCAACTGAGCTAAGTTGTATGTGTTGGAGGCTCTTGGAATCCAAATCTTTAGTAGATTTGATGTTGAAAAGCCATACACACGGCGATCACACCGTGTGATCACACACAGCACGACCAGTATGACCATGGTCGTACTGCTTTCGTCTAGGATGGTCTGCCCAATTCATCCAAAAAGCAATAAAAGCGCGATAAAATGTGGCCCGATGGCCGAAATACCCTAGTAGAAGCATGTATGCAAAGCAAGTGGCTGTAGATACCGGTCCACTCGTAATAGTCTCTCACTTCCCCGTGCTAATTCAGCTGCATTTACCAACTCTCCTCTGTTTTTGTCCTACAGCCTTTGGCTGCAACTTCCCCAGCATGTTAAGACATCAAAATGTCTTTCCAGCTTTAAAAATGCACTCCGATCGCATAATGTAGTACGATAGGATCTCATTGCTGGATTCTTGTCTATCCTTCTTTCTTCTCTTTTTCTATTTTCTTTTCTTTTCTTGCCGTGGTTGGCTATCACCCCTCTCTCGCACTTTGCGTGCCAATTGGTCATGAACCACGAGTTGAGTGAAATAAATAAAATAAATAAATAAATACCGTATTTTCTCTAATAAGAGCCCGGGGTTCTTATTATTTCAGTGACAGCTCTACCCGCGCTACTATTAGAGACTGGGCTATTATTGGAGACTGTGCTTCTATTTTTTCAGTGCTCCACCATCCAGCCAACTCAGGCATAAACTGACCATATCAAAACTGATTTGCTCAACCCTAAACTCAGGAATATTGTCAAAACCGATGTTTCACAATAACATGGGTGCCGGGAAGGAAGTAGTAGACCGAAAACCTCCTTACAAATAATATGTGCATGGCATGCTGTGCTGCTGTTTTATATGCAGTCAATACACGTGTTGCGTACTCCAATCGTGACCCGCGCTACTATTGGAGACTGTGCTCTTATTATTTCCAACAACCCTCACCCCGGATCATTGTTGGAGACCGGGCTATTATTGGAGACTGAGGACACAGTGTGCAGGGTATTTGATTTTGGCCATAGTGGAATGTACTGCCTCGTACAGAGCCATGTGCTTGTCATGCTGAACACTGTTTCGTCTTGTTATTATGCCTTGCAGCGGCAGACGTGTGAATCGACTTGCACTCCCCAGCAGCGGATTCTGGCACTGATCATAGTGTGCATGTGTACATTAGCAGTTGAGAACTGAAGCCCTTGACTAGCAGTCCTACCGCAGGCTGCACTGCACTGCACTGCACTGCAGTGCACTGCAGACGGAGTACAGTTTCCGCAAATCACCACTACCGCTGTGAACCCACCAGATGCCGGATTTGCCAATGCTGAACTGCTAGTGTCCCCTGACTGCTATTGATATCTGAGTAAGTCCAGGAGAGTGTGGAGGAGGATGTAGTTCAGATGTGAATGTATTATAATTTTGCATCCAAACACACACACACACACACACACACACCACACACACGTCAGGCGAAATAGCACGTCATAGTACATTTGAGATCAGCGGGAAGAAGATGACGACGTCCACTAATTTAATATCTGTGCACACGAATCTGCTGTGTGTGTGACTCTGTGTGTCAGCTATGATATCATCTTCTGTGGTTCCATGCCTAGCATGTACGTCTGAACCATCCTGCAAAGTTTGAATGACGTGGGTTGAGCGATCGCTCCGCGAAACATACTTTTTGAAATTCTCTTCATAGTATATCTTCCACCATTGAAATTTCGAATTTCTTCAAAAAAAGTGCTGAGAGGGGTGGCTTGCAACCTTGATATGGCTTGTTCCAGGCATGCTTTGGAGCCATTTTCTGTTGAAGTAGTGGTGGGGATCTGCCCTGCAACTGCTACAACAACAAATTATTCGATCTGAGAAAGGGTGAGACCGCGAATCTCGGTTGAATATTGAGTATTTCAAGCCTTTTCACGACGAAGATGGAGTTCTTTTTGGAGATGGACGTCGCGGGAAAGGACATGGTGTCCGACTTCTGGCGTCTGGTGAAGCCAGGGATCATTTGTCCAGTCAGGTCGGCAGCCTAACCGTCTGTAAGCTTGTGTTTGGATCCCGTTCTGCTCGATGTGGTAGATCACAAACAATTTGATATCGCACAAATTGATCTCAGCATCGTGCGTACGGTATTTTATATTCAGAAAATCCCAAAGTGTCTCTGTGTGGCCGTCCTATGCCACGAGAAACTCCAATCAGGCTCCTATGTCCTCTGCCTTCATGATTGAATGTCCACTTCGTTTGAACAACGAACACAACAATCGAGGACGGCTTTGCAATGAAAAATACAGCTACACTGGAGCTGAAAAAAAGAAGAAAAAACGTGCTCAGGATGAGACTCGAGTACACGCATACTCTCCCAGCAGGTGAAACGCAAATTTTTGTGAAAAATGCATATCGCCGACTGACCAGTAATTTCGCCTGACGACACACACACACACACACACACACACACACACACACACACACACACACACACACCTCAGACCTCAGGCCTGCCCACCGCAGAAGCGATGATAGCGAACAGCTATGTTAGACATAGCAACTTGTGCTGGGATTACACTATTCAACAGCTTGCAAGGCTGATGAATTGACCGCCACTAATTTTAGCCTGGTATCCACCACACAGCTGATTGAAGTGGCTTTTTCTGGCAAGTGAATCCCTATGCCAACCATGCATCGACCAGGCGCCAGGCGCGAACTGATGGTGGTGGTGGTGAGAAGAAGAGCTCTGTGCCAGAACTTTGCAGCCTAGAGAGCGTGTGTGAGGGTAGGCGTGTGTTTACCGCCATATTGCCAGGTGTGTCTTTACCACCATATTATTTTATCAACCATAAGTACAGCTGCAGTGGTTTCTTCAACTTCATTCAGTGAATCCCTACTTTTCATTTTTCATTTTTTCCATTTTTTATTCTTTTCTTTTATTCTTTTTCTTTTTTTTGCACACACACGCCACACCACATACTCCGGCATACACTGGTTGTTGGTAACCACCCAGGAGAATGAAAGAAGAGCTAGGAGAATGAGAAAGAGAAGAAACACACACACACACACACACACACATTCACACATTTACAACCACACAGACCCCCACCCCTCGCACACACACATACATACATTGGTATCCTGCAGGGCACCAAGCTCATTCAACAAATCATGGCAATCTGCACAGCTCAAAGAAACGCGCCAAAACGATATCGCTTACTCGCCCATGCATGCACACAAACCAGATGCAGGCATGCTTGCAGTCACGGCCATCGCACCACGTGCTTCCTCTGAGCGTGTACATTACTAGCACCAGCATGCAGTTTGGTTTGGGGAACCACGACAACACAACATCACACAGTTCTATAACCTAAGACTGTTTGATATTGTGTAATGTCGGGGGGGGGGGGGGGGGTTCCCCAAACCACACTGAATGACAGATAACAGTTGACACTGCAAAGTGACCGATGAAATACAGAGAATGGTATTGGAATACAGTTCGGGGTGGCGGGGAAATGATTCCCTCCCCGGTGTTACACAGAAACTAAGAGAGTCGCAGAAAAGCTAGCTGCCACACATTCATGAGCGCACTCAGTGTAGAAAGGGAACTTGTTTCCTGCAAGGGCCACTGTCACAGGCAGGAAAGGCCAACAGAGACCAGTCAGCAAGGTGTATAGCCATTCTTTAACCAAGGCATCCTGCATTTGTACTGCTGCATGCCACACAAAAGTCAGAAAGAAATTTACTTGCCAATAAAGTACAGCTTCATTAGAATGAAGTACTCAAAATGTAATTATGTGGAGTGCATTGAAGCAGTAGGTGTTTGACATACTCTCCCCCTCTAGTCACACATTTATTTTTAACTACTTGGTCATTTGCTTTTCTTTTACTCACACAACTATAATATTCATAGCTTTGGACCAGCGTACTCACATTCCCGGTAGTGAATTATTTTAAAGTTTCGGGTGACGTAACTAGAATTTACCGGCTAGTAAATTCTCTGTAATATGTGCCCAGTCTTTTCTCCACGTAGTCATTAGCTATCTCCATGATGACTGTTGTACCCTTGGCAACTGCTATCTCCATGTTGACTGATTACTGTTGTTTCCATGACTCATTGTCTTTGCAGGCTAACTGGTGCACGAGAATGTCTCTCCCTCGTTCACGCGACGGGAGAGAGCGCCCAAGTGCTCGGCACACAGTGGATCCTGGAGATGATCTGTACTATCATAGTGATGATGGTGATGAGCGTCCCAGGGACAGAGCATATGATGGTGATGATCTCTCCAGGGACATAGCATATCGTGGTGATGAGCTTCCCAGGGACAGGACACATGGTGGTGATGAGCTTCCCAGGGACTCGGCGTATGATATTGCCGCTGCAAGTCCAGACATGGAATACCACAAGGCCGAGGTGGATTGGCACGAGAGCAATGGAGACGGAGGAAACGCCAGTAGCCGGTCCCGTTTGCCTGCGCTGTTTGACGGCCATGATTCTCCGAGCTACACAGCACAGAGCAATGGCAGCATTTCCACGGTACACGCAAGCAGTGATTTCGGCATGGACGGTGTCGATTTCGCTACGCGAGGCGACGCAGATGAACACTTACACAGCTCCAATCAGCCCCGTAAACGCCACCGTCGTAAACGTCAGCGTTCACGCTCGCCAGTCGATGCTTCTCCCCTGCGCAAGCGGAGAAACCCTCGTCGCCACCGTGGACATCAAGAGATCGACGCATATGCTACAACAGCGGTTAGGAATGCATTTGCTGACCGTTCACCAGCCATTTCCTCTTCGTCAAAAAGTACAACTGGATTTGGACCCGCCACTCCAAGCAAGCACAAGGTTAAGCACCAGCAGCCCTTCACACCGGCAAGTCAGGTCAGTTTTCTTGTCTAGTGAAATAGCATTACTGTAAATGTCGTCTCCATCTTTGAGGAAACACATAACGACTAGCACCCCTAACCCTAGTAGCACAGTCATACAAATCACACACTGCACTGAAGGGGACTTCCATTGCTCACACGGTGCTCCCACTGCTCACACCGTGCTCAGTACCTGCACTCCCACTGCTCACACCGTGCTCAATGCCCACACTTCCACTGCTCACACAGTGCTGAATACCCGCACTCCCACTGCTCACACCGTCTCAGTACCTGCACTCCCACTGCTCACACCGTGCTCAATACCTGCACTCCCACTGCTCACACCGTGCTCAATACCTGCACTCCCACTGCTCACACCGTGCTCAATACCTGCACTTCCACTGCTCACACAGTGCTGAATACCTGCACTCCCACTGCTCACACCGTCTCAGTACCTGCACTCCCACTGCTCACACCGTGCTCAATGCCCACACTTCCACTGCTCACACCGTGATCAATACCTGCACTCCCACTGCTCACACCGTGATCAATACCTGCAACGGGATAGAACTTGATAACATAAAGGTTGGATTGATGGGAGGCTCGTCAGTTCACGCTCAACATTCCCAGTCAAAGCTGCAGGGGCAATGTTTTTTTAGCATTCTTTAAAAATAAACGGCTTACCCTCCGGAAAACTGGACACAATATTCGTATTAGGCTGCTAGGTCTGGTCAGGGCAAGCAATGATCGGGTAAATATCTCAAAATATATTTCTGTTGTCTCCCATCCCATAAACAGCATTCATATTTTTTGGGATACAGTGGGACAGGCACGCTGAAGGCAGTAGGATCGGACACTCTGCTACAGGGAAAAGTGAACATCACCCTTTCTTTGCTACCATTTCAGAAATGATCTGAAGATCAGTGAATTTCTTTCTAGTGTATACTCAGTGTTGTTTCAAATAGACTCTCAGTTTCGGTAGAGGCTCCAATATCGTTTCTCATGTTTCCTCGTTCTTTCTTTTGGTGAATTGTGCCTGCAGGTCAATAAGTCTCTCCGGGCAACTACTAGCCGAAAGGTGGAGCCCTGGAAACTGGAGATGAACACGAAGAATGGCAAGATGATGCTGGGAATGAAGCGTCCTCCCGTGGACGAGAACCCTGGCTGGACACAGGGCATCATTGCCAAGGTTATACCTGACAAATCAATCGGCTTTATTCGCATCAAGAAACGATTGGAGACTGACAGCATGCCACTCAATACTCGACATGATGAAGACATATTCTTCCACTTCAGCCGTACCAAACTGGATGCAATTGCTGGCATGGACCTCTTGCAATCCGACGCCGTGGAGTTTACACGAGAGCCATCAAGACAGGAGGGGAAGAGTGACAGAGCGTCAGAGGTTGTGGTGGTGGCCATCCATCGCTCTGTCGATCAGTTCTACAGCTGGCTAGATGAAGTACAGCGGCAGGCAATGGATAACAGGAGCATGGCCATACAACGTCTCAACGCTCATCTGATATGGAAGACAATGCTGAATCAGCCAATCAGCGACAAAGATTCAGCCAACACCTTGACTGGCAGAATCATCAAAACACTTCTCGACCTGAAAGACTTCCTCCGCGTGATGCCCAACATCTTCAAAAACTGGACTGCTGCGGTAAGCAAGTGTACATTCTTCAACCCGATCACTGGCGCATTGCTGGCGTACATGCAGCAAAGTCACCCGGATTGGCAGTTACTTGAAGACTTTCTCCTGGCACTGTGCACCGCAGACAACAGCCTGCTACAGCTTGTTCTGCCATTGGTCAGAAAGATGGTGGATATACCATCATACCCACAGGACCGTGTGAAGCAGTGCCTATTGAAGTTTCTACAATGTATGGTTGTCACGGCAACTGACAATGATCCGGAAACATGTTCATGGAGCAACTTGCCGCTTGCACCGACCAGCACTGAGCTGACTGGTCAGCTTATCACCACGGCAACTGGAGAATGGTCAGCCACAGCGTACACTGGTCCAGCTCTCCCGGTTGTTTATCGTCACGGCAACTACAAATCCGTTGATCATTATCTTGACACATACTTCCGGCTGCTGCGAGAGGACTGCTTTGCTGCACTGAAAACCGGCGTACAGAACCTGCTTCAAGGAAAGCTAGACATCCGCGACATGAACGTGTACTACCAATTGGAACTTATGGCAATCGAAGATCCAGGCTCTGCTGGCCATGGCACTGCAGGTCTAGCTGTCGGTATCAAAATAAAGTCAGCACGCCCGGTGAACGACTGGAAAAAGACAAGCGCTCTGATGTATGGCAATCTGGTATGCATCACGACCGACGGTTCGTTCAAGAATCCGCTGTGGGCTACTGTACGCAGCAATGCCAAGATGGCCACGGAGCGTATTCTGCTGGTGGACCCGTGCGCCGATATCAACGGTAGTGACATGGCAGAGTTCATCAGCAGAATGAGAAATGCCTCACCTCACACCACGCTCATGTTGGAGTCCCCAGCTTACTACAAAGCCTATCAACCAGTGCTACTCTGTCTTCGGGATATGACTTCCGAGGACATTCCGTTCACCGAAGAGATCGTCGAGTGCCTAACAGACATTGATTGTCCTCCCGAGTACCTGGATCCAGATCGTGCTCTGCAGAAACTGAAGAAGTCCCCGGTGACTGTGCAATTCCGCAATATGCCGACTGCAGGTGCCGAACACGACACCTGTATGCTGACCGGCAATGACGAGCTTCCAGCGCCAGCAACCGGACTTTGCCAACTGGAGCACGAATCTCGTCCTGTAGTCGAGCCAGCCACCTCCCGGTTGTGCAATAGTGCGGCCAGAGCTGACCAAGAGACCAGTGAATTGTCTGTAAAGGGAGATATTGGTGAGGTGTCTGTGAAGGAAGAGTGTCCGTCAAGACCTGTCACGAGGCTTGGCGTGCGCAAGAGAAACCTTGCCCTCTTCGAGCCACCTGCCGATACCTCAACATCGAAACATAAGCTGATTGAAGGAGCTGAGCAGAAGCTGATTGAAGGAGCTGAGCAGAAGGCGAGTGAAGAGATGACTGTGTTAGAAGAATGTCTTCCAAAGTCAAACGCAGCACATCGTGAATGCAGCAGTAGCCATGATAGTGTTGAATCCACCAAGAAGCTCAGCAGTCATTCACAGACCACTGTGCCTGCACTAGCGGGAGGTGTCGTGTCAGAGCAGGATCTTACAGATGCAGCTACGACTGCCATTGGTGTACCGAAGAGACCAGCGTCTGTTTTCTTCAACCCTGGGTGCCTGTACAACACACCTAGTCAACCTAAGAGACCAGCGTCTAGTCAAGCTCCAGACCGTGTACCACTCTCCGAGGTGCTGGATCTGCTGGAGGATGGTGATGCAGACCTTTGCGTTGACCTGTCACAGCGCAAAGCAATAGCACATGCATTGAGGCATCGTCTAGCACTGATCCAAGGTCCGCCCGGTACTGGCAAGACGTACATCGGTATCAAGTTGGTTCAGCTCTTGCTGACAGCGTCGAGCTTGAAGCAGAAGATCTTCCTGGTCCTCACCTACAAGAATCATGCCCTGGATGAGTTTCTAATCGCCTGCATGAAGTTTATGACGGTTGTGCGCATTGGCGGCAGATCTGATGACGCCGCATTACGAGAACGGAACATCAACCAGGTCATGCGCGATCACCGCCGAATGTACGATACCGGTTCCCACAGGGGATCCAATAAAGCAGAGTGTACTGCACGGTACGTCAAGAAAACAACTGCTGAGCTTGCCAGCGCCAGCCATTTTTCAGTGCAGTGCTTTTTGGACTTTGCCACTCCAATGCAGATCAAGGAGTTGTTGTTTGGCCTGAGGAGAAATTATTGGGAGCCGGCTGATTACGCGGAGCTGTGCAATATCTTTCCAACGCAAGATCTTGCTGAATGGATCGATGAACTAGATCGAGAGTTGCTTGTTCACCTAGCGACACATGCCCTTCGCTGTTGGTTGCCTGAGCCACGTATCTCTGATGAGCTACGAAAGGGAGCTTCGACACAGGACTCCTCGACTGGCACAGCGGAATTCCAGCCCGTGCCCAGTGACAGTAAGCGGTACAGCCACAAAGCAGATGAAGATGTCAGCGGTGATGAAGAAGAAAAAGAGGAGGAAGTCCGGCAGAGACGTGGTGGTGGTGGTGGAGCTGGCAAGGATGATGATTTACGTCTTCTGTTCTTGAAGAGGAGACATCTCGGAACCTCTTGTTGGCCTGAGGAGATTCCCGGGCTTGAGTGCCAATCCCGACATGTTGCGATGGAGTTGTCTCGAGACCTTGACGATGATGTATGGAAATTGAACGAAGTCAACTGAGCGCTATTTATTCAGCACTTGATGGCAGTGCATTTGGAAGATTGCCGGAGCAGACTCACAGCAGGTGTTGAGTCGCTTGCTGAATTAACTACGGAGGCTAAAGTTCTTGAAGCTGAAGAAAAGGCGAGAGTATTGCACAACAGCGCTTCATCATTAATAATTGGCATGACAATCACTGGTGCTTCCATGAACCATGAGCTTCTGACAGCGCTTAAGCCTAGTGTTGTCATTGTGGAAGAAGCTGCTGAGGTACTTGAACCACAGATTGTTGCTGCTCTTGGTCCATGGGTTCAACACTTGATCATGATCGGAGATCACAAGCAGCTACGACCATCCGTTGAGTCCTACTCTCTTGTGAAAAATCACCACTTTGATATTTCAATGATGGAACGACTGCTCAATAACAAGATGCCACATGGGTTGCTGCTGACACAGAATCGCATGCGACCAGAGTTCAGTAAACTTCTTCTGGATATCTACCCAGATTACAAGGACAACCTGTCAGTTGTGTTGCAGAACAAGGCCCCGGCGTGTATGGCTGACTCGATGTTCTTCTGGCACCACACGCACAAGGAAGACAAGAGCAGGAGTGTTGAGAACGGAAAAGAAGCAGAGATGGTCGTTCGTCTTGCACTCTGGTTCGTTCAGCAAGGTTATGATCCAGCGGATGTCACAATTCTCACACCGTATCAAGGACAGACAAGACGGGTGCGACGCCTTATGCAGGACAATCTTTCTTCGGTGTTTGACATTCAAGATCACCCTGATTTCATCGCCGTGGAAGCTATGGAAGAAGAGTCAGTTCTCCAAAATGCAAATGATAAAAGAAAGCGTCCACTACCACCTTCATCTCCAATCAACAAGGCAAGAGACCGCCACAGAGTGCAGGTGCACACAATCGATCGTTACCAAGGTGACGAGAACCAAATCGTGATTGTATCACTGACCAGGTCAAACACGGAAGGCAAGATTGGATTTCTGGATCAGCTGAATCGACGCTGTGTGGCACAGTCGCGGGCCAAGTGCGGAATGTACTTGGTTGGAAACAGCAAGACGCTAGAGCGATCTTCAAACTGGACATTTCTGACTAGAAATCTGAGAAAGCAAAACCTCGTAGACGGTGCTCTAGTTCTCGCGTGCCCGAGACATCCATCGACTAGTCTGAAAGTTCGGACTGCTGGTGAGATCCCGATCAACAAGCCAGGGTTCTGCAGTGAGACTTGCAACGTCGCAATGCCTTGCAAGGTTCACACGTGTGATCAGCTTTGTCAGCCAGGACATGCTCACAAGATCTGTAAGCAGGAGGTGGAGTTTGAGTTCACCGTGTGTGGTCACTCAGCGACAAGACTATGCAACCAATCAGAGAGAGAACTGAAGTGCAAAAGTGACGTCTCGTATACATGCCGGGGACAGCAGCATTCGAAATGCACAAAGGTGTATGTACGACAATGCCATGACGTTCGCGCGGAAAAGGACATATCAGATCAATGCAAAGAAACAGTTACCGTGACATTGCCATGCCAACACGAGGCAACCAAGGTGTGCAGCGCCAGAGACCCTCCATGCGAGTTTCCATGCAGCAAGACTCTGGAGAAATGCGGTCACATCTGCTCAGCTCTGTGCGGTGCAAACTGCAAGTCAGTACCTTGCAAGGAGTGTGAAAGAATTGAACGCCAGCGTCAGGAAGACAAGCGCAAGGAGCTGGAAAGTGAAGTGGCACGACTCAGGACATTGCAGGAAGAGGAGAATTCCAAAATGTCCAATCCTGATCAGGTTGCTGGCCAGCTTATGACAACAGATGACTCAGGGATCAGAGAGATCCGTCAAGCCAGCATCAATTTGCTAGACAAGACCATGAAGAAAGAAAGACAGCCACAAATCACCAACGTCCAAGAGATCCGCAATCGCACGATTGAGATTTCCCAGCACGAAGAACGGATGAAACTAAAGACTGTGACTGGGGACAGTCAAAGATTACCAATCAGCGTACAAGATCCCAATGTCTTGGCCGCACTTGTACAAGATGGATGTGCTAAGATGAAACAAACAATTGGTTCACAATCCATGTGGACAGTCCCTAGTGCAGAATGTTTCTCGCTGGAAGATGTGTCCGGTCGAACAAGCAATTACATTGTCTGGTGTGATGTATATCTGGGTAAGACCCAGGAGTTCGACACTCTCCCCAGCACACTGCCAAGTGAGGAGGAGCGTGAGTTTGATTCTTGCTTCATCAAGAGTGCCAACGGTGCTGGTGGTGACTATTGTCTATTCGAATACAATCTGATCCGACCTCGCTATGCTGTTGAATTCAAGTGCAAAGTACTTGCAAGCGTTCTGAACACAGCACTGGAGAGCAAGTCCATGCATAGTGGAGAGTTTGAACGCATGACCGTCAAACCAAGCAGAGGTGTGCTGCAGGGTGACCAGGCAACTGTGATGAACATGGCAACCAGTGCATTCTTCAAGCAACAGAAGAGTGCAGAACAGATGAAGATCACCCGAGTGACCTACTATGTGCAGCCAGAGCTAGTGGAGAAGTTTATTGCTTTCCAGGAGAAGTTGAAGGAGAGGAAAACTGAGAGTGAGCATGCAGCAGTTTGGGCCTTCCACACTACCGATGCGAGGAACGTGGAAAGTATCGTGAAGAAGAACTTTGATCTTGAGCGGGTCGGTACTGCAACGCGTCACCGAGGCAAGTTTGGTTCCGGTATATACTTCTCCGAGTATCCGGACTACAGTCTTCGCTATGGTGGATCTCAGAAGGCACTGCTGCTGTGTCAAGTTCTTCCTGGCAAGGAATATCACTGCACAACGGTGTCATCTGGAGGAAGTCTGGAGGAGGGTTACGACAGCCATGTCTATGCTGCCGATAATCAGGGATACGGCAAAGAGCTGTGCTTCTTTGATGTTGACCAGATTCTGCCACTTTTCCATGTGGAGTTCACTGTGAAGAAAGCACATAGCACTCAGTCGAAACTGGTGCAGCCATCACCAGCACATCCAGGACCACAGCATGGCAGTCGGAACGTTGATGTTGATGGACATAGTATTACAAATCCCGGACGGACAGCAGGCGAAGGTTATGCCAGTGGAGACAGCAGCTTGCGCAGTGGTCTATCATCCAAACTTTCAAGAGACTCACTTCCTGGGAGGAATAATTACCGTGGCAAACAGAGTGATGACGACCAGTCCAGAATCCAAACTCAGTATGTGCCGAGTCATGGAACAGCATCCTCCAGGAGACAGCGAGATAGACCTGGCAGAAGAGGTCCGGCAGGTGGTCACGTTACTGGTGGTCCATTGCGCCATGCCTACTCGCACTCGTCCTCTTTCGGAGAGGACCCGCGCAGCAGATCATACCAAGACACGCACCGAGGTGCACAGCGAGATGCACGCCAAGACACACAGCAAGACACCTACGAAGACCCACACCTAAACGGACACCGAGACTCACACCGAGACCCACACCGAGACCCACACCGAGAAACATACCGAGACCCACACCGGGAAAGGAATTCAGATTATGGCGCCAGGCCCAATCACTATGACAACAGTACCTGGGGAAATCAAAACTGGTTTTCCCATGACGATAGAGATCGGGAACCTCGGCTGCCTCGTATTCGCCATGGCGACACGCGTTCTGGTGGAGATTGTCCTTGGTAACTACAATCACACTGGACCACACACCCTATGTCGGCCGGCACTGAATGTTACCATGATAGTCTAGGAGTGTTGTTGTCCACCATGCTATGTACATACCGATATGTATTCTGGTGGTGGTGGTGGTACTGCTGCGGTGGTGCAGCTTATGCTGCTTGTGCTGGTGTTGATGCTGCGGGTGCTGGAGCTGGTGCTGTAACTGAGTGCTGGTCTTTCTGCTGCTTATGCTGGTGGACAAGCAGACTGAATCCTATACTAGTGGCTGCGATGACTTTGCCGCCAGTGCTAGTGGTGGTGGTTTGTGAGTTACCCGTCCCTGCTGCCAGTGCTAGTGGTGGTAGTGGTTTGTGAGTTACCCGCCCCTGCTGCCAGTCACAGCACGTGTGCCCAGTACCTACTGTTGCCGCCGTCATGTGATCATTGCCATGGAGACCATGATCATAACAATGTACAGGTGATTACTCAGCTGCTGCATAGTTCAAGATTTCAGCCTAAATCCAATCAATTTTTCTTACAAACTCGTAACCACAGTAATCACTTATATTGTAATATTATAAGAAACTATTTTGTCGCAGTTGCTACCTCGATTTCGCAAGCTGCTGTGTAGTAGAAAGTATTGAGGCATATTCTCCCTGACTGCGGGGCTAGCTGGATTGAGCTATGAACTGCGGGTGATGTGAATTATAGCCTGTGGCCAGTGCTGCTGCAACATGTAGCAATTGCCTCTGACCAGTATGGTTGTGTCAGTCACTTTGATTGCTTAGTTACACCATAGATGCGAGTATGCCTCTTCGGCGCACTATCTGATCATTCTTCTGATGTTCTCCGCTGGGACGATTTGCTAGTACTGCATTTGAATTTCTGCTACATTATGTGCTAGTTCATGCATTGTTTTGCTCATTTTGAAACTAATATTTTCTCTGGACAATGTTGGCCATTGAAGCCTTCTACAGGCTTTAGCGATGATGTATGCTTACTCTACATTCGACTGGCTGTTACAGTGTAGCGAGCGTGTATGTATGGGCATGTACATGTATGTATGGGCATGTATGAGCAAAGACAGAAGCTGTACACGTCTCATAAAAAGGATACACTTCAGGCTCATTACGAACATCTTGAAAGTTTTTGTTTTCACAAGTATACTTTCAAACTTTCAAGATGCTCGTAAGTATACAATAAATGAGGAGGCCGAGGGTTTATGACCAATAAAAACTATTATAAAAACCGAGGTCCCGGGACCTCGGTTTTTATAATAGTTTTTATTGGTCATAAACCCTCGGCCTCCTCATTTATTGTATTTAGAATCGACCAGTAAAAACTGGTACTCAATCTCCAACAACAAAATTAGTGGACAGCTGTTATTTGTGTTGCTATGACAACTCGTGTGCTGGACGAGTATTTGTTGTCATTTTATCGCATTTTTGTCTCAGAGGAAACTGTACATGTCTTCGAAGACTTTTTAGCAAGTACGAGGTGATTTGGCTTTTTTAACATTTGGCATTTTTTAACAAATGTGTAAAATTATTTGCTTTCCTTCTGGCTGTTTCTCTGCTCCGGATGGCTGTATCGAAACATGGGTGGTGGCAAATGGGAGCCAGTTTATCGTAGATCGACATTGACCAGAAAATTTGGTGCATATAATTAATTTTTATTCTCCCTGCCACGTTGGTATAACTAGTGGTGGGTGCTTTGCCATTTTGTGTAAAATGTGTAAAATGAGCCCCTGAATGGACGAGGAGGGCAGTGAATTGCTTCCGCAGGGCCTTTGGACGACGTCAGGCCGTCTTGCCATCACTAGAGACAGTACTGAAGAACAGTAGGTCACGGAATGCACTCTGTGAGAACGAAAACATCGCTGCGATGCTATGCTATTTATCCAATTCCACCGTATAAACACAAATACATGTAGGACTCAGTATAGAGTCCATGCACTATAATTATGATGTCCAGCACCCTATAAGAGAGTCCATTGGTCCAAAATCCACAGAGTCCAGGAGTCCACTCAGTTTTTATCAGCTTCTTCTGACATGTCACATGACAATCGACATGGCAACAGCGAATCCTAGCGCGACTTGCCGTGCTTTGAATCAGCCACTGAAGACCTGTGAGCGCTTGCAGGTCTCCGATTTTCCAATCGGAGCACGCCCAGGCGTGCTCCGATTGAATCGGAGCACGCCTAGGCGTGCTCCGATTCAGCCATCAGAGGCCGCTTTTTTTTTTTTTTTTTTTTTTTTTAGGCGGGAGTTCTCTGTGTTGTGACTGTGTACATTAGTCATTATGTAACATGTCTGAAGTACTAAACTGGCGACTAGTTGTGTTCCTTGTCTGGTCTAGTGTGCGTGCCTTGAGTAGGTACTAGGTATGTGTGAAGTACTACATGTAGTAGTACTAGTAGTACGAAGTAGTTCGTGCAATGCATGTCAGAAATGGTATCAAAGCATTCGTACTCGGACTCAAGTGCTAGAATCGGAGCCCTCCGCGCTAGCGCGCGTCGGGCTCCGATTCCGCACTTTCGTCCTCGTACTCATGCTCGATTCCATACATCCTGCCGCGCAATCCCCTATAAGTTATAACTTAGTATAAGCAAGAGTAGATAAACAAGAGTGTGCAACTCGCGGATGGGTTGGCCCACGGCGGAATTTTTTGTTGACGTAATCTTTTCGACGACGCACGCGCTGCGAGTCTTTCGGAAAGTTTTCCCTCGTGCTCTTGGCCGGGCTTTAAAGGGGAAGTATACCCTAAAATCAAATTTTCACCAGTTGTAGTCTTCGGGGTGCTGAGTCGAATGGTCTTGGTCCGAGGAAGCTGAGACGCTCCCTTCCTACTTGAATCCCAATCGAACTCACGCACTTCCACCGAAACTGGGTGACTGCGCCCTACTAGATGGGGATTTGTATGCAAAATCTCACTAAAAGCGCCATTTCGTTCTTATAAAAGCACGGATGACCGCGATTGGCCCATATGTTGTAGTCTTTTGGACGCTGAGTCGACTGGTTTTGGTCCGAAAAGGCTGCGATGTAGCGTTCCTCCTTTATTCCCAATCGAACATGGTTGAAGAAGCGGTCACGTGCTCCTGCGTACACCAGTCACCTGGTCACCGTGCCTGCAGGGTACAACTTACTAGCCTGTTTGACCTTTTTTGGGTGCACTCCTGTCACTCGAGTTGAACTCGAGTTGAACCTTGGTGTGAAAGTTGTCGCCTGCTGGCGCGGTGACCAGGTGATTTGGGCACCCAGGAGCACGTGACCGCGTGTTCAACCATGTTCGATTGGGAATAAAGGAGGAACGCTGCATCGCAGCCTTTTCGGACCAAAACCAGTCGACTCAGCGTCCAAAAGACTACAACATATGGGCCAATCGCGGTCATCCGTGCTTTTATAAGAACGAAATGGCGCTTTTAGTGAGATTTTGCATACAAATCCCCATCTAGTAGGGCGCAGTCACCCAGTTTCGGTGGAAGTGCGCGAGTTCGATTGGGATTCAAGTAGGAAGGGAGCGTCGCAGCTTCCTCGGACCAAGACCATTCGACTCAGCACCCCGAAGACTACAACTGGTGAAAATTTGATTTTAGGGTATACTTCCCCTTTAAATACTACAACTTACAAGGTCGGTGTCCAGCACGTGCTCTCACACTGCTCTGCGGCAAACTGCGCGTTTCTCTGAAAAAAGGTGACGTCAACAAAAAATTCCGCCGTGGGCGCCGGCGGGGGTATCTGCAGATTGTGCAGGAGAGATCCGGAGTTGCACACTCTTGTTTATCTACTCTTGCTATAAGGAGTACACTTTTTCTACGAGTCCCCTATTCACAGTCCAGGAGTCCGGTTTATCCAGTCACGCCGTCCTGTGTGTTGTGCCCGAAAGAGAACGAACACATTTTCAGTTTTGCTTGCCTCGTGGCAGCGCATTCCTTTCTTCACTTCAGCCATGGGTGCCAGTTCTGCTGTGCAGTTGCTGACAGTAATCTGTCTCGAGGTAACCAACGAGGATAAGGAGACGTTCAAAATCAAATCTGGAAAGCGTCTTGTGATTCTCTGAAGACGTTTCATCAGTGCGCGGGATGAAAGCAGAAATTGCAGAACGAGAAAAGTTCAGCACAGTTCAAATCTGACGAGTCAGGTGCACTCTCTTTCGTTCGACGCCACAAGGATCATCCCCTGTTTGGCTGGCCATTGCTGCCAGTAAGACTTTTGAACGGTTTCATCAGAGCGAGGGATGAAAGCAGAAAGCGGAGAAAGAGAAAAGCTCAGCACAGTTCCAATCTGACGAGTCAGATACACTGACACTCTCAGGCTTTCGTTCGTCGCCACAAGGATACCCCTGTTTGACTGGACAAGAGCTGCCTGTACCACCGTGTCAAAAGGCTGTCCAACTACATGGCAGGACGATGACTGAGGTAAGGAAGCTTTTACTGGTTTCGATTGGTCTGCTGTTCTGTCGTTATGCTTGAATTTTTTTCCATTTTCAAGGAGCGTTTCGCGTTTGTTTGATGTTGCTTGAATGAATGCCCTAAAAGTAATCAACCACTTCGTAAGGGCGCGTTCAGACTACCGATAAAAAGTGACGGAATGGAAAAGTTGCCAAGGTGATTTGATCACGTGACGTTACTGGCACGTTACCGGCGGGAAAGTTTTACTGGCGCGTCTGCTGCGCTGGGAACAGGTTGCCGGCAGTGAAAAAGTGGAGCACGTGCTAGTTTGGACTCTTGTCTACCACGCACTTCTGCGGTTTCGACTCCTCTATGGTGTGTGACTATTTTAGTATTTCCCCTGACTGTGACTCGACTCTATTCAGCACCAGTGTTTTCACGATGCCGAAGTCACTATTTGACCAGGGCATGGAGAAGGAGATCATGCGCCTATACGTGGAAGTCTTTGCAGGTTCGTCAGGCAAAACATTGACCACTGTAGAAAAGCAAACTATGGTAGCGGACAAGCTGAACGACATGGGGAAGCTTGTGGGGTGGCCTACTGTCACAGCATCAAATGTGGAGCATAAGATAGATTCCGTTCGAAGGAAGGGCAAGAAGATGTACCGGACATTTAGGCTGAAAACCCGCACAGGTGCTCCTGTGGAAAGTGATTTCGACCTCAAGGTAATCATGAATGATTATGTGTCTTACATTTATCATAATTATTTATTTCATCCTCCTACATGTACATGTGTACTACTGACGATGTACTCCTGCATATCTCAGGGACTGTTGACATGCATGAGTGTGTGGGTTTGTATACACTCCTATGCGTACTGCAAATGACATGCAAATGACATTAGTGGTGAAACGAATGTCAAAACCTACTAGTCGAATATTCTTCAGCTTAACGAACGAATGAACGAATATTCTTTTGGTAACACAGATGACATCACATGCCCTTCTCTCAGTCATTTGATGGATATTGTCAATACTAATTTATTATTAGGTATGACAAACGGTAGTGCCACGTAAAATGTACTGCCACGTAAGGGTACTTCGAAGTTCATACCTGTTATGTGCAACATTGGCAGTCCAGTATGGACATACATGTGCATGCATGCAGTACAAAGTCACAGGCAGGCTGTACCTACTGCACTGTACCGTGTTTGGCGTGCATGTACGTACATGCACTGCATTCGAAGTGACGTAACGAATACTCGAATGTGACGTAACGAATATTCGAATGTGACAAACCGAACGAATGTTCGAATATTCGAATATTCGTTTCACCACTAAATGACATGCATATTTATTTCGTGCTGCTCCCGCGTTCTTGCAGGCTGCGTACAAAGATTGGGCGAATTTCCCTCAATATCATTCCCTCTTCTTCAAGAATCAGTCTTTTGGACCAGGCGGGAACAATGTAGATACTGCTATCAGCGACGAAGGAGCAGAAGAAGCCCGGGCAGAAGCTTCACCAGCCCCACCAGCTCCTGTCACACCAGTGCAAGTAAACATGCCTGGTGTCGGACAGAAAACTCCGCATGGTGATGATATCTGATTCGGAATCAG